ATTTATCTTTTAAAGGCAATGATCAGTTTGCTCAATCTAGGCAATCTTTAGAAGAGTGTCTATCTGATATTTCTGAATGGATGCTTGTTAATGGACTGAAGTTAAACCACGATAAAACGGAGCTGATGTGTATCCACTCTAGGTTTCAAGACTGTCCTTTGTTGACTGAGATTCAAGTTTGCGGGAACATAATTGTCCCTTGTTTATCAGCTGTTAATCTTGGAGTGGTTTTTGATGACCGTATGACTGGTGAACTCCAAGTTAGCAATATCTGTAAATCCTCCTACTTCCACCTAAGGAATCTGTCTGCTATTCGTAAATATTTAACCGTTGATTCTGCTCAGACAGTTATTCATGCTTTTATTTCTTCTAAACTTGACTATTGCAATGCTCTCTTGTATGGATTACCTAAATATCTTGTTGAGAGGTTGCAAMGAATACAGAACTCTGCAGCTCGTATTGTCACCTTCACTAAGAAGTTCGATCATATCACTCCTATGCTGGTTGATCTTCACTGGTTACCTGTTCACTACCGAGTCATTTTTAAGCTGCTGCTGTTAACTTACAAGGCCTTGAATGGCCTTGCTCCTTCATATTTGTCTGATCTTTTGACCTATCGCTCCTCCAGTTATTCTCTACGCTCTGTCTCTAATAAACTCCTYGTTGAGCCTAAAGCTAGGCTTAATACTTATGGTTTCAGATCCTTCTCCTTTTCTGCTCCAAGACTGTGGAATAGGCTTCCCTTAGAGATTCGTTTAAGTTCAACAGTTGCTAGTTTTAAAAATAGACTTAAGACACATTTATTTTCTCTTTTTCTTAATAATAAGAAGTATATTTAAAGACTACGTGACTTTGATTTGTTTTATATATTGCAATTATTAATTAGTTTTATATTTTAAATATTTACATTTTATTCATAATCAATAGGTAAGAATTTTGTAACTATTGTGAATATTCTATAGTAATTTTTTGTGAAGCGCCTTGGACAATTTTGGAGATGAGCGCTATATAAATAAATTATATTATTATTATATTATTATCTACTTTACGACAACAGAACACTAAACGTGCGGCTGAATTTTGAACTCGCTGACTCAATTCGGATTGCTGCAACTTATCTCCCACCTTTTTCCAATTGCGCTGTAGGTTACACCATACACGCTGCAATGCTCCATGCAACTTGTGTCGCAACGCCGTTGCAAGGCAAGTTAGAGAGAAAATTGCTCCGTGTAACCGCGTCTTAAAGAGTGTTTCTAAAGAGGGTTTTTGATTTATGGTTCTTAAGGTTGGTGTTACAAATATCGGGCAAAAACAGGCAATTTTTTTTACTGATAAAAGGCTCAAACTGATTATTTAACAGGACCCGTGTGAAGACAATCTTTGCGTTAACAATAGTAAATGTGTACGTAACGACAAGAACAGACAAGAATATCACTGTCAGTGTAATAAAGGATTTACTGGAGAAATGTGCCAGCACGGTAAGTATTCTTAATAACTTACTTTATAGGCGACGAAGCATTTGCAACAAAACAACAAAACCGGGGCTCTATATGGAACTTAAGGTGAATTTGATTAACCATATTAACTCTGGACGGTTGAATATTACTGACGTAAGGAGCATCGCGCGGTCGCGTTTTTGTTGGTATGGTACAAACAGAGTCAAGTACGGAACGGCCGTTAAAGAAGTAACGCTCATAGGCTATTCAAACCGTTTGACCTTTGAAATGAAAACGTCTGCATTACAACAGCGAACGAAGGAACACGGACACAAGATAAGTAAACAAGTATAACGTTAATATAATTCAAGTAATCGAAAGGAAAAAAAACCTATAGAAATCCAACCACATTCGGTATCCTAGTGCCCTTGGTTTGATTCATAATCTCTAATCTTATTAGACATCAACGAGTGTCTTGGATCGCCTGGTTGTCATAGTAATGCACTGTGCATTAACACACCCGGTTCTTACAAGTGTATATGCAACAGTACGTATATTGGTGATGGTCGAACATGTGTAGGTATGTCCTGTCCTGCCACTCTACTCCTCTCTTTAATCAGTGTTTCAAATTATATAAATACTCAATCTTTCTATCCAAACATTATTCTGTAACTGCTTATGTTTCAGCCATCACTGTTTCTGTCACCAAAAATTGTAGCGGTCCTAGTCACCAGTCTACTATTCCTCACAGCGGTGAAATAATGTCACCAGGTTACCCAGGAACTTACAGTCATTACCTTAATTGTTACTGGAGTATCACATCCAACACCAAAGTAGGCCTGTATTTTAAAACTTTTGTGACTGAATCAGGTTACGATTTTGTCACAATCTATGATGGCAGTTCATCGTCCTTGCCAGTACTTGGTACACTTAGTGGAAGTGTGAAGCCTTTGAACTATTTCACCAGTTCTACGAATTCTCTGTACATGACCTTCGTTACAGATAGCTCAAACCTATATACAGGATTTGCTATCAAGTANGGTGGAAGGATCGAGGCGACTGAGGTCGAAGTCTGTGTTGACCACGTTATGAGCCAAGATGCGGTACTTGCTGAAGTGCAGCCAACGGCGGGCATCGGAAACGCGGCGCGCCTCGTAGAGGTTTTTGATCCACTGGTACTTGGGTTTAACGTATTTGTGTTCTTTGTAGGGGCAGGGGTGTTGGGCATGCACGAGATCCAAGCAGTCGACGTAGAACTCCAGGAGCTTGAGACGCTCTTGTTCGTCGTGAGGAGAGGCGTCGTTTTCGTAGAGGGTCGGCAGGCACCAAGAGCGAACGCGCTTTTCGAGGAAGGCAAGAGCGCGGGTACGGGGTCGTGTTGCCGGCATGGTAGTTGGGTGGGTTAGTGGTTTTTCTTTTTTTCCAAGCACATTTGTAGCGCCACGTCCATGCCGTAACGATTGACCAGGAGATCGAAGGCGGGAATGGACATGTATTGTCCAACGGTCATGAGCTTGCTGAGTTCGGTACTTCCGTGGGAGATGATTCGTTTGAGATGACCTTTGTATTCTTGAACGTGGGCGTAGCGTTGCATGACGTCATAGTTATGAGACTTGTAATCGTCGGACAACCATTGGTGCTCTTCCTTGACCTTGGCGAGGGGATGAATGACGTCCAAGCAATCCAGGAGGTAAAGAATGAGCACGAGCTGAGGCACGCGGTGACGGAGGTCTTGCGGAAAGCAGGCACATTCTTGGACTTGATGGAAGTTAAGGCGATCGAGTGTGGAGGTGATGAGCCGGGTGTGATAACTTTCGGTGGTTTCCATGAGGAGACTGATGCGCACTTGGAGCGCGTTAGAGTTTTTCTAGACCTTTCTTGACGCCGAACCCCACCCCTGCTCCAACGGCGCCGAGGCTGGCGGCTTTGGCGGCAGCGATGGCCGCAGGAATGAGCGCCAACAAGGGGAAGAGCCCGCCTTGCTGAGAGCGTCTCTTTCGTCTTCGTGTGCCTCCTACTTGACCATAGTTTTGTTTTCGTGGTCTGGAACGGATGTTTCCTCCTACTTGTCCATAGGTTCGTTTTTTCTGGCGTGATCGGATGCCTCCGCCTCCTTGTTTACGTGGCATGATCGTATTGGTTGATGATGCGGTGCAAAATCGAATAAAGGGGGCTGAAGGCGAACGGGCTTTTATTCATTTTCATCATGACTACCACCACGTTTGAAATGAAGCCAAGACCTGCATCGTTACTCATACCTACGGCACCTACCGTGAGAGTGGACGAACCCGGGGCAACGTTTGAGGTGACGGACGAAGTGATGGCCGCCATGCCATTAGACGTGAAGCAGGGAGCCCCCATTTATTTAAGACCGTTGTCTTCCCGCGTGTGTTCGAGTCATGAAAATTGGGTGTTGGGATTGGATAAAATAAAGAACCCGGCCGAAAGGGAACAGAGTAACGCGTTGCTGTTGTTGGATTCCAAGTACAACGATTTGCTCAACCTTGAAAAGACCTTGTTGGGGGGAGTCATGATGAGGCTGAAATTTTTTAAGACCAACAGACGAGACGATGACTGGGAAAAAGAAGAAGAGCCTGTGAGGTCGAGCATGGGGGAGCTTCATTACGAATACAGAGAAATGATAGCCGCCATTGCTAAGGCTAGGAAGGAGACCTTGGACTTTATCATGACGTTGACTCGTTGTTGTGGTAGCAAGACAGGCGATGAAGAGGAGGAGAACGAAGGCGAGGAGGACGAGGGGGATGCTGCCGTCCGCAGGAAGAGGAATCAAAAGAAGAAGGAACAGAGAAGGAGAAAGAGAATGAACGAAGTGGTCTCCGATCCCCGGGGAAGAGACGAAACGGACGGAAAGGATATAAAGGGGTTAGAAAGGGGGCACAAGTACCAATTTGTGGAAGCAGCATGGGGAGACGCAGACGACGCAGAAAGCATCAGGCGGGAGGCAACGTCTTCAAAAGCCTAAAGAACCGTGCTCGAAGTGGCATTRGTAGTATAATAGCCAATAAGGCGCAAGGAATAGCTGGCAAGTTGATTGATTCTAAAGTAAAGTCCAAGAAAGCACGTGCTTTTCTTCACAACCAATTGAAAGCCACCGTACCGTTTATTAAGAAACAAGTCGCGTCGAGCGTACAGTCAGGAAGTGGAGCGAGC